AATGTATGTTAAGTTGATCAGCACCAGCCTCTGAAATAAGTGTCACTCTGCTTTGATTTGTATGTAACTTGTATTTCTGTATAAAGAGCTCAAATGCTCTGGGGCAAATGTGGTAGAAACATACTGCTGGTGAGGAAAGGCTGTTGGTCCATATCGCTGTAATGGTGGAACAGAGCATTTTGAGCTGACATGTAGACATATTAACAAACCTGGATTATGCAAACATGTGTGAATGAAAGAAAATACCACTCCAAGTATGTTTTATGAGGTAACAGCATTATAACATGGCATAAAGCTCATAAATGTCAACTGTGTGTAATATAGGACCTTTAACTAAACAGTATTCTTACATGCAGACTTATCATAGTGCATCAAAATGTCCTATATGTAAACAGTGGTAAAGATAATAGATAATGTATTGCCTGCATTGTTTTAGCACTTATGTCATATTGAGAGCACTCGAGGCAGGTTACACACAGATCTCTCTTCACACTGTCTCCTGTTTTCACACACCTACATCAGACAGCGGAGAGATTTCAGCGTTTACCATCAAGTGTTGAAAAACGTGTTTGAATGCCGACATGGTGCACAAGAATATTCAATTGTCTTCTAAAACTGTGTATTCTACAGAGTGAAGCGCACTTTTTGGTCTATTTGTCAGAGAGCGTATAGCTGAGACACTGGGTTGGTAGAGAATAGCTCTGTAGATGTATGGTTAGAGGGGATGTTGATGTTAGATACTACAGCTGTCAAGGAGGAGGCCAAGAGGAAAACTACAGGAGATTGGTGGATGTAATGAAAGATGGCATTTAGATGGTGTCAAATAAGAGAGGATAGTGCAAAATGATTTAAATAATTTGATGAGGTGACATTTAAAGCTTAACAGAAATGATATGCCTTAACATTATCAGATCCCATAGTTAAAACTGTTTGTATTGGTCCAGTGTTATTCCTCACTTTCCTAATGCATTTCTCTCATCCTAATCACAATACACAATGAGTTTCTAAGTGTTTTTCAACCCTTTTCTATCATGGGAATACTAACAAACAGCTAGCATGCTAACAGCACATTTCCTGCTTCTCAGAGGATAAAACACGTTATAATCAGATGCAGACAGGACATGGTTTAGTTTAGAAGTTTCTTTTCTACTCTAAGAGATGTGTTGACAATATATTTGTACAAACACATTTTGCTCAACTACATTGACAAAAGCCTGGTAGAGCCACTTCAATTAACATAATTTAAGCTGAAGTAGATGTTGAATGGGACCACACAACCATGAAACATGCAGTTTTGGAGATGCATAGACCAATTTAGCTATCACATTTGGGCTTTGTCCATTGCACTCAAATCCATACATTTGTGACCATTTCCTTAGCTTATTCTAGCTTGACAAAAATGTTCTCTTCTTGTATATCCCACTTACAGCTGAAGTACCCAATTTGTTTTCTCATAAATTACGCTTTTCCCCAGAAGGTATATATTGTAAAAGCAGAAAATTGTGCTAAAATCAGACCACAGCATATTTCATCTAATTAGAAAATATTGTATCCATTGTATGTGCAAGAAAGCAAAGGCTATTCTAAAGTTGAGCTCGTGGTCAGAATTTGCATGCATGTGAATACTAGTGATGTGCCAAAGGGTTTGTGAGAGCTTAGAGCAAGTTAGATTGAAATATACTTTTGAAAATCAGATACTCCAGCTTTAAAGGGCCCATATTACCCTATTTTCTGATCTATTTTGCAAAGTTCTTACCCCCTCGCAAACATACCTGGAGTTGTGTTTTGATTCATTCACACATAACACACAAACCCTGCATATTTAGGCTGTGAAAACACACAAAATCCACCTTGTGATCTCATGAGGCAATACAGGAAGTGCTCCACTGTGTTTTTAAACTCTATACACCATCACTATAATCATTTGGATGGAATTGCCAATCTCTAATGAACAAAAAGGTAAAAAGGTGGTTGTTAACTTGAAAAACACCACTTCATGACATCACAAGCTGGAACAGAGCATGAATGAATGAAACAAAACACAACTTCAGGTATACTGATGAGGTATTGGCATTCTAACATGGCTCAAAGCTCACAAGAGTCCATTTTGTAGAATATAGGACCTTTAAAAAGACAGGTGGAAAAATAACAAAGTACATTTTCACTGTATGTTATCCCTTATTAGTGTATGCATATAACACTGAATCCAGAAATAAATAAATAAATAAATAAATGCACGATGAAAACCAAATGCTCTGATAATAGGTTTTGAACAATCCCTCCTACACTGCCCAACTAACTTCACTTTCAAGTTTGCACTTCTGAGCCAAGCCTGCATCAAAGTGGGATGCGGGGTGTCTATAGATGATATGGAAATGCATGTATGAGCCTTCTAATTCGCCACAGATAGACCTGTATGGCGGTATTAAGTTGACACTAGTGGTCCTTATCGTGTCAACACAGACGGCGATGACAAGCCGGGCAGAAAATAAGGTCGCAAAAGGATGCAGGAGGAATCAGTGGGGGAGTTGAGTCCATTTCACCCGAGGAGACCTCTCCAGCAGCGCAGATACACATCAAAGAGTGTCTGCAGCTCTAGGCTTTCTTCAGGACTCCGACCGAAAAACCAAAACGAGATTTTCTAATCATTTGTGCTGTCAGAGGGAGGGTGCAAGTTAAAAGTTATTAATCCCGGGATGAGAAAAACACACTGACAGCTTGTATCTGTTCAAGTTGTGTGTCTTAATGAAAAATCTGTGGCACCTTGCTATTTGATGTAAAGGAGCAAGGGTGTGAACTTTGAAGGGTTTGACTGGAGAATGTTGGTTCCTTTTCTGGTGGAGGGTCCGTCATGGAGATGTTATTGCTTTGCCTGGAATGTTCCATAGTATGATATTAAACTCATCTATCTAGCATTTATTCATTGGGGGTGTTTCTATCGCTCGAATATACCGTATTTTTTAGACTATAAGTCGCACTTTTTTTCATGGTTTGGGTGGTCCTGCGATTTATACTCCGGTGAGACTTATATATTAAAATTCTCACACTGACAGCCGTGAGAGGGCGCTCTAGGCTCGTGTGTCAGTATCTTGTACTACTATTACTCCTGTACCACTGTCACTTCGCACTCTACTGCGCATGCCTCCAGTAGAAATAGCCACTGTCTTGCTGCAAATAGTGAAATATTCAGATGAAAACAGTAATCTTATGATTGACTGGCAGAAAGCGGGGATGGAGAGTACAGCTTCACAGCAACTGGGCGGGAGCACCATGTAACTGAATTGACAAAGCCTGAACTTCAATGACAATCGAAACCATCCTGTCGGGATTCTGAAAGGCCGGAATATTTCCAACTGGAACTGATGCTGAATCTGACGACAGCTACGCAGAAGAGGAAGCAGCACACTGTTTACCTCATGAATCTATGGTTTATCTCCGGAGGTTGTGCAGAAGTGACACCGAGGATGAAGAATTCAATGGATTTAGTGATTTGGAGTGAGATTGTGAGTTTGGTAAACTTATGTTATGTTGTTTATACTGTAATTATCTGAATAACTGTTAATATGTTACGTTAACATATTAACGCCTATTCAGCCTGTTGTTCTCTATTCTGTTATCACTATAACTTGCCTTTCAAGATGAAATGTCGGTTCCTGGTCTCTGATTTTTCAAAATACATTTCCCCAAAAAGTGCAATTTATAGTCTGGTGCGACTTATATATGTTTTTTTTCTTCTTCATTGTGCATTTTTTGGCTGGTGCGACTTATACTCCAGAGCAACTTATAGTCTGAAAAATATGGTACATGAATTAGTCTATAGTTGTCTCCCTTGAGATAGATAAATTTAATCTCTACTGTGGAACATTCTAGACAAAGCAATAACATCTCCATGCAAACAATCAGGTGACCGACCCTCCACCAGAAAAGTTGCGCAATAGAGCTTTAAACAGAATCTATAGAAAAAAAGATTTCTCAAAATATAAAACAAATATAGAATCTAAACTTATAAATAAAGTAAAAATCACCCATAATCCAAAGCACCTATTGACCTAATGTAATTTTGTATTTCAATGATGCATGCTATTTCCCTTGATCTACAAAATCTTACACTACTATAACTGAAATTGGCAAGAATCCAGTAAAACTTATAATCTGTAAATACAAAAATAATTATGAGCTAAATTTTTGTTAGACCAAGCAGTAACTTCGAAATATGAAACTGTTAATATTTCATGAGAGTACAAACAAGATCAGGCGGTTGTGCGCTATTAAATTTACAATTAGTTGACATTACAGCAACCTTTACTAGCAAGTCTGGCCTATGGAGACGAGGACTCTTATCTGCATGTTTTTATTTGCAAGACTAAAACCGTTAAAGCCCTAAGTGTTAATCCTTGAGATGCTGTGAGCACTCATTGGATTTACATGCTAAAGCCAGTTACATGGTAATTAATGTCACTGCAGGGCACCATATACTCTCTATGTATGGGTGCACGTTGGAAGAAATGTAAAGGTTAACAATTGCCAGAATCAAATTATTAGCATAGCATTAGCTTTTAGCCCAGCAGAGTAGCAATGCAGGCGGAATGATATTCTTCAGAACAAGTATTCAAATTTGCAAAGAGATTAAAAGTCCAAATTATCAAATCTGTATTTTTATTTTTATTAATAACGAAAACTAAAAACTGAACACAATTCTGTTATGTGTCCCAAAGTTAATCCACATTTTCCTTCAAGTGCTTTTCACAACTTTCAGAGACTAAAGCAGAGTGTCACGTTAATGCTATCAATAACTATCATGCTAAACGTGCACTTCCTGATTCAGATAGCTTATTCTGACCTCAAAATCAGTTTATACAATATATCTAATCTGAGAAAAGACATTTTTTGCTCAATTACAAGGAAAAAAATGGGAACAAGCCCATTAACAATATTCTGAAAATAATAGAAATAGAAAGCACAAGGATTAAAGTTAAAATAATAGTTATAATAGCATTTACCTGTTTAGTGGGTCGACCACAATGGCCCTGGGATGAGACATGTTGCCTTCCAGCAAAGTCTTCCTGGTCTGGGAAGCCTTTTCCAACCTGGCAACACTGATGGTCTTCCTGTAGCCATCATTGGTCCAATACAGATTTCTGCCAATCCAGTCCACAGAGATTCCCTCCACATTGTCCAGCTCTGAATAGAACACATTGCAATAGTAAGAAATGATGTAAAAGACCCAACATGCAGTTATGTTCTGGTTAAGTAGTTAATTGAGTTAAGTGGGGTGTAATTACACAACAATGGGTCTTTATTTAGATACAGACAACATAATCAAGACATTCTCCATAGCTATACTTTACAATAGGCAATATTCATCAATCAATCCTATTATTCATACAAAAATAACAATAGGATAGCTCTAACTATATCAGAAGTACCAATATAAACCAATAAGTACGCACAGTATATTGTCTACAGATAAATAATAAATAAAGTTGTTTTAAAAATATGAATAAAAAATCGGATACAACTATCGTTATAAGAAAAATATCTTCCAAAAAAATTATGCTATTAATTTCGTCAACATTGCCTCTGGATATAACAATAGTAAAATTTCAATTTCAATTTCTTTACACAACAATTTGGTTAAATTGCAGCATCTTCTTGGGCCATTATGTTACGAGACCTGAGACTTCTAAACAATCATTCAAACTTGCATCACTTCACAATGGAACGGGAAACAATTAAAACTAATCAATTCATATACTGCATATACACAGTATCAGATAATTAAAACATACAAAGTACAGGAGGTGAAACCAACAAGGATACTATACATTAAAGGTGCACTATGTAACTTTTCGCTTGGGGGTCTGTCAGATATCATTGCTCTGCTTTGAATGCTCCACAGTATGACATTAAAACAGGTCTACCTTACATTTATTCAATTATAGGTGGTTTTATAGCTCAAAAATACCTTAAAAAAAAAAAAAAGGTATTGTGAATGTGAACAGGGTTGCCTCTCCACAGACCTGACCTGTAACTAGCCCTGGTTTTGGTCTCCATGATGATTTAATTTTGATAAACTTTAATGCTATATTGTAAAACATTTCATACAAAGCAATAACTCCATGAATCTCCATGAAGAAAAGCAGATGACAGACCCTTTACTAGAAAAGTTACACAATGCACTTTGTAGATACTATGAGTCACCAACATGAGAGCTAAAATTACAACCTCTTTTCATAAAGTAGTAAATATACACTCACCATCTTTCAATATTGTCTCCCTATTACTCCCATCTATCTTCTGTCTCCCAATGAGAAAACTGGTTGTATCCGCAAAGTAGATGTATCCGAGCTCAGCATGGTAGTCTATTGCTCTTGGATTTACTAGGTCCTCAATCGGTACCATGTGTTCATCCGTAGATTTCACGTTCATGTCCAATCCTCGAATAACTCCCGGTCTTCCCTTTCCATAAAACAGGAACAAATCCGACTTGGGTTCTGCAAGGAGAGAAAGAACAGGGCAGTTTTAGCGTTATTGTCAATTAATAGGTCTAATTCATCAATGTTACACCCAGGTATTAAACCCTCTTACGGGGTGCATTGTTCTTATATGTGAGCAAAACCACTGCTATCCATTCACCTTAATAGACCCAGTAATCAGTGCCAATGACGATACTCCAGCCATTCAATCACGGCGAGGTGCTACAGAGAAAGGATGCTACAGAGACCCAGTGACAACACAAGAACAGGGAAAGCGCATGAGTGGACAGACAATGGAAGACTTACCTCAGCAGTTAACTTAAAGAGGGGGTTTCAAACTGGAGTAGGGGGACAGCATGGTAAATATGAGATTCGCTTTTTATGGTTTGACAAAGGTTGTGTTCATTAGATCTTGTTTAGTCCCTGTTTTCTTTGATGGTGATGTAGATTCTGGTTTCATCCGGCTTTAGATATTTTTTGGTTCTTGATATTGTCTGTGTTCAGTTCTGATTGAAACAAAAACTTATTCTTGTTTTTTTTCTAGCTCCTTAGGTTTACTGGGTTCTGGGTTAAGGACGTGCCCTCTCCAGGTGGGTGGGGTGTCCCTGCCTCAAGTGGAGGAGTTCAAGTATCTTGGGGTCTTGTTTACGAGTGAGGGGAGGATGGAGCATGAGATTGACAGGTGGATCAGTGCAGCGTCTACAGTGATGCGGTCGCCGTATCGGACTGTTGTGGTGAGGAGGGAGCTGAGCTGAAAGGCAAAACTTTTGATTACTGGTCAATCTCCGTTCCTACCCTCACCTAGGGTAGGACAAAATCACGGGTACAAGTGGTCGAAATGAGTTTCCTCCTCAAGATGGCTGGGCACTCCCTTAGAGATGCTTCCTGGGCGTCTCCCTAGGGAGGTGCTCCGGGCTCTGTGCTCCGGGCTCTGTGCTCCGGACACCAGAAGACCCAGGACACGCAGGAGGGACTATGTGTCTCAGTTGGTGTGGGAATGCCTTGGAAGTCTGCCCGAAGGAGCTGGAGGAAGTGTCCAGGGTGAAGGAAGTCTGGGAGTCCCTGCCCTCGTGAAAATGGATGAATGGGTTAAGGATTCGTTTGTCTCTAGTTTATTCCTAGGTGATTCTGAATGTATTTTGGTTCCGCTGTGCTCGCTTTCCTGGAGTTTGACCTTCTACACTTTAGATAATACAATTCTGTTTAGTCTTTTGTTAGGGCCCTGGTTTAGTCCTGGTTAAAACTATTAGTTTTGGTGTAGAACTAGATTAGTTAGATCCTTGGGTGGTTCTGATTTAGTCCTAATTTAGAAACCTTGGGGCTTAAGACATTTTCCCTAAAAACATGAACTAAAATAAAAATATATCTGCACCCAAAGTATCCAAGAAGATTTGAGGCATCATCCCCCCAAAACCATTACTGAAATAGAAATAAATCTGGACTCAAATTTAGCCAAGAACCAATACAATAGAAGAAGATTACCATTGAAACCTACTGGTCTAAAATATCTTTGCTTCTGGTGAGACAAGACAAACAGTATGGAGACCTGGAAAGCTGAGGCAGCTCCTTAGCCACCGCCTGCTTTCTCCCTCCCTGCGTGGGTGCTCTGGGGGCTGTGTGCTCTGCGTAACCCTTTGGGACCCCCGCAGAGGGATGGCGGAGGAACAGAGAGGGGCCTCCACAGAGAAGCACAGACCCTAGCCCCTCCCCTAGAGACCAGAACACTGGGGGTGAGGACCACACATCCGTGCTTCAATTTATCATGTTTTTGTGAGAGACTACCCAAGAGACAATTAGACCCAGATATCAAGGCCCGCTATGACGGCTGCATGAAGGAGCGCTACCATTTAGTACCAAATCTCATTATGCCAAGAGAGAGGAGAGCAGTGGGATGGAGAAAGAGAGAGAGAAGGGTGGAGATAGCTAGTGTCATCAGAACATCTACGGGAGGAGTATAAATCACAAATGTCACAGCGAACCTCCCTGTCGCTCCGTTACCCCGATCGAAACGTGAAATGTAGCGTTGGTGAGACCCCCCCTGGATTGTGTCATCAATTTGATCCTTTTGCTTTTATTGTCAAGTCCGCAATGTCCAGCGATTGATCAGGGAGACGTACAAATGCGGACCAACTTAAAAGCTCATTATGGCGATAATCAATCAGAAGGAAGGGCGGGATCGATGTGAGGAGCGTCACGGTTAAAATGGCTTAGTGTCCGGCTGCGCTCGTCTTTACGAGTGTCAGGAGCGTGCTGGGAGAGAGAGAGAGAGGGATGGTAGAATGATATGACACATGACCTTTAGACGCACGTGCCGATATATAAAAACGTGCCCAAGCAGAACGGTTAAGTCCCCACTGTACACTGTCATTTCATGTGGCAGGGGTTTTGTTCATTAGGAGCAGTTGGAAAAGGGTATTATTGAGGGATATAGAAAATATATTCATGGAGTAGTGTTGTAACTATGATTTCAAACTGATTTTTGATACTAAATATGACAATTTTGATACCCCAGTGATGAATATTAGACAATAGAATGCAATTTTCTACACAGATCAATACTTGTGGTCTTGTATACACTAGATTAAGACCATTCTCAAGCTCCTCAAAACCTCTTCAGTCATATTTATGTCAGAGTTTTTACTATTGATACTTAGCCCAAGAAGTATATTGGTTCAATACATGAAAATCTTTCCTTTCACCAAAACAATTATATGTATGTTATAATGTGAGATAGTCCAGACAGTGATTCTTCCAGTTGTCCTCGAAACATGACCAGAAATATGAAACTTAGCAAGCTAATTTAAAACCAAATTGACCTGGCCATGTCCATTTTCATTTGTTAATAATAGTAATACATTTTATTCATATAGTGCCTTTCTTGGCTGACATTCCAGATTGCACCAGACGATAACCTCATCTATCCTGGATTTTAAAAAAAAAAATGTGAAGGGCAAAATGCTTCCATAATCTACAACAGAAAGCAGCTAATTTGGTAACATTTCCACAATCTGAAACAAATTGTAGCGTTATGTAATTTGTGCACCAGTAACTTGCTTCTAAAGCTGTGGAATAGTGATAAATGACAAACTCTATACAATTACATGCATCATAGAGAAGCTAATCGCAGGTCAGCCACTGTTTATAGGATCCATCTTTTAAATTACTCATGATATACTGTTTACTGTTTAAATCAATTTAAGGCCACGAAATTACAGAGTTTCAACACACTTTTGCATATATTCAAATGCATGAAATGTAATGTATACCCAGTAGCATTGTCAGGTTCAAATGGCATTTCGTTTAATCTGAAAAGAGGGAAAGTAACATTATAATACTTTTTAAAAATGCGCAGACATTTTAGCGGTATAGGCCATGGACAATCACATACCTGTAATCATGGATACAAATGGTAATTTTAGTGTTAATTAGTACTTTTGTATATACATAAACTGCTCCATCATCAACAAAGCTATTTTAGAATCTGAAAACTACCAACAGGTTCCTACAAAACTAACAAACAAACAAAAAAACTTTCCTCAATCTACCTGTTAAGTTATAATTGAAAGAGCTTTGAGGATGGCAATACTGTACTAACAACTGTCATCTCATTCCACCAAACTCTATCACTATAAAGCAAATACACGGATAACAATTTATACTGACTTTTACAGGACTGGCCGTCTGATCCCAGGATGTAGCCCGTACGACAGCGACAGCTCCGAGACTTGTAGCTCCCGCTGAGAAGGCAGAGATGGGAGCAGCCACCCGGTCGCCCATAAGAATCCACCTCACATGAATGACTCCTCACTGACAACAACACAGAAAAAAAAGATGCACCTTTAAATGCCAATGCACCAGTCCCTAGAGACCAAACACTACAGATATACCCCTCTGAAGTTATGATAAAACTGACATTATAGTCTTGCTCCACACATAACCCTCATATGGTATGTTGTTTACCTTTTGGCTGAGTGAGCTTGTGGTAAACGCGCAGAGCTGGACTGTTCCCCAGGCTGGTGAGGACGCGGGGAGATGCTGTGATGTTAAAGCGATGGATCTGCAGAAGCTCCACACTGGCAGCGGTTTGGGAGGGGTCAGTGTGGGTGGCGTACAGGAAGTCCTCAAACACGGATAATGCAACAATGTGGGAGACCTGGGAAGGACACAAAAACATGTTTGTGAATATATTAATAATAGCAGAAGTCTTAAGGGTTGAAGAAAGCAAAAAAAGGTGCACATAAAATTACATAATATTCTTGATGAAGGGTCCATCGCCTAGCCTGATTCATCAGCCGGTTTCACTTCATGGAAACCGTCTGACCTCGCAGCATTAGGATTTGTTCGCTCGACGGTAGGCAGGTACTTTTTTTATTTAACAAGTCGCTGCTATTTGGTCGTGTCATATGTAACTGCTAACAGGGCTAACTGGTATATTAAGCTTTTCCCAAATCCCGTAGGAAGAAGTGCAACAATGTCTTTCTCCCTGATAAAATTCACCACACATTGTATTTGATCTGGCTTTAAATCCTCGATCTCGTGAATCGTTGGCAACACAGAATGTATGGCTCTTCACTGATTGGCTGGTGCCCGGACTCACACTTCTGGGGTTCTTGCAAACGGTCTAGTGTATTCTGATTCCTGACCTAGTCGCTGGAGAGAAATGAAATTGAGTGGAGACACTAGGTGCCACCAGCCTCGCTATCCATCGCCCTCATCTCCATGTAAATGTTGTAAAGTTAAAAAAAGAAATAATAATAATAATAGAACAGATTACCTAAAAATATTATTTATGGATTATTTGATCCATGACTATTGTATATTAACTTGCACAGTTGGTCAGGGAAAGTTCCACAATATGGCATAGAAATGTATCCATCTCAAGCAGGTGTTGTCACCAAGCATGTAGATAGTTAAATAAATACAAGATAGATCAATATAGAACATTCCAGACCATGCAATAACATCAGAGCAAGAGATTTCCCTAGAAAAGTTATACAGTGCATCTTTAAATTCAAATTTAATAAACAAAAACAAAACTAGTACATTATTTTGCCGTTTTTACTGTTATATTGTTATTATAATTATGATTGTGAATATATTATTACAATCATAATCATATCATCATATCAACTAACAAATTAACCTTGACATCCAAACCAAACAATAACACACACAAATATCTATAGCAAACGTGGCCGAAGTGAGTGTTAAGTTTGTAGCAGTGGTCGTATGGGGTCAGGGCTCTGGTGGAGGCTCTATGCTACATTTAGCAGACTGACATGCACAGGCTGTACGGCTGGCTGAGCTGTGTTCACTGCACCGAGGCTCACCGGACTGTGGCATTACATCAGGGCACCCGGAAACATGGGTCCACAAAATAAAAAACAAAGCATTCAGGCGTAGCTCTCTCAGGAAATGGCATAATAAGCAGTCCAGGTTTTGCATTAGAAGTTTCAATGCATCTCTATTTTATATGAAATTACAACGATGGATAGATCTTCAGTGATTAATTAAGATGGGGCTGTCTATTTTGTCTATTGCTAATATGCAGATGCTTTGTTGTGGCTGGATAAACATAGTTGAAAAATGATCACAGTGTAATGTCTATTATTTTGATTTCACTTGTACACATATAAATGGCTAAATTTGGTATTTAAAAACAGAATGATCTTAAAGAAGTACAGCAAAGATTTTATTACAGTTCCTTTATTGATCAAAAATACCTTGGAAAAACACGCTTTATTTCTGTGACTGGGGTCAATACAAGCATTCATGTTTCTGTTAAGGTGTTTGATTTCAACAAAAAGGCGAGAGTGACTGAAAAACTGTTGGTTAATGCTACTAGCTTGTGACTGTAAAGTTATTTGAGCTCACTTGTTGCTCTTTATGGTTAGAGTGTGTTAAAATAAAGCTCAGATTAAAGTCAAACTTGAGTAAAAGAGCTTCAGACAGAGTAGTACCTCTAATTGTCTTCAGACCGCAATTTCAAAGTATGAATTGCTGCTCACAAAAATAACACTTTGAAAACACATCCGATCTAAATATCTGTTAAATTTTGGACAGGGTAGTGTCTTAGGAACAAAAAGGATGCCACCTCTTTTAATGGAAAGGAACATCAGGTGTCCTAAGGTGGGAACAATGAGACAACTAGTTTTGCATGTGGAGGCCATTTCCAGTTTCTCTCTTGTGGTCTTTTTTTGGCTAGTTTTCCACTAGTGCTGGCTTTAGCTAAAATTATATCACTACTGGGAGTAAGAGGCCATTTCTTAACCATACAGAAGTTTCACAGACTGTCCAGCTTCTCCAGAATGGCATATCCAGACGTGCCATTGCAAGAAGATTTAATGTGTGTCCCTGCACAATCTCCAGAACATGGAGGAAATTTCAAGAGACGGGTAGTTACTCTAGGAGAGCTGTAATAGACATCTGGAGAAAACAAGGAAAACACTATCCATGCAACATCGTTCAGCATGAGCAGTTTGATGGTGGGTCAGTGATGGTCTGTGGTGGCATATCAATGGAAGGACACACAGACCTCTACTGGCTAGAAAACGGTAGGTTGGCTGCTGTTAGGTATCAGGATGAAACCCTTGAACCTATTGTCACACCCCAGTAGGTCCTGGGTTCCTTCTGTTGGATGACAACGCCTGGGCTCATGTGGCAAGGGCAGGCAGTATCTGGAAGATGAAGGGATTGATACAACTGAATCTGGGACATTATGTTTGGGTTCATTAGAAGCCTCCACGTTGCTCCTCAGACTTTACAGGAGCTAAGAGATGCCCTTACAAAGATTTGGGAGAACATCCCACGAGACACCATCCATGGTCTCATTAGGAGCAAGTCACGACTTTGTCAAACATGCATAGAAGCACATGGTGACCACACAAGATAGTGAGAAGCATTTTAGCTTGACAGATTGATTTTCAGGGTGTTTATACAATTAAGTCCTCTCTAGGCTGAATTTCCATTAAAAACTGTGTCATTATTTTGTTCCTAAGACATTGCCCTGTCCATATTTGTATTCATATCCCGCATACACATTTGATATTGAGATCTGATGTGCTTTCAAAGTGTTCCTTTTTTCGGGCAGTATATTTCTAATGTGTTACTATATAGACAGTGTAATCCCTGGTTCAATAACAGTAACAGTGGAACTACATAATCAATACAAGAATACCTGCTCTTGATCTCACTTGCGAGCCTAACTTTTGAGAATGTGAAAACAGCCCATAAAGCCCAGAATTTATACAGCGCCTTAAATTTAAATGGCAAAGCGCTTGGTTGAATTTGTAATGTAGATGTGTTAAGTAGTTTAATGAGGCCACAGGCTTATCAAGGCTAGCATTATGCAAAGAACACCTGCGCTCACAATAAGGTGCTTGAGATGAACATGTTCCTTCTCCCATAAAGAGTGGGTACCTTTTGTGCATAAAAGCAGATTTTAATGAATAGTCTTAATCTGTGATGAAAAGCTAGAGAGGTGCGAGAGGGGAGGGAGAGCCAGATACGTTTCTACTGTGAAAGACAAATGTACCAAATGTGTCCTCAAGACTTTGAAGTTTGTGTAAAAAATGAGTACATCACGACATGAATATACCACCTGTCTCTTGGCGATAAAGCTCTAAAATAGACACCCAGAAACGTCCTGTTATGTGGAAATGTAGAGGCTTTAAATTATAGTCAGGAAGAGAAGATAAGAGGAGCTGTTCTTGTTAACTTCACACGCCAATGATGTGAAAGTGTTCCCGAAAGACAAAAAAGATGCAAAAAACAAAAACAAAAAAAGACTTCAAACTATATAATTAATACCGTAACTAACTTTTGTGTGTGTGTGTGTGTGTGTTGAAAAACTTAATCTAATAACACACAATAATGTATAATTTTGGCCAAGTTTAAATGTAATGAGCCTATAATGTAATAAGAGTAACTATGGTGTTCTAATTGCATAATATCATCTTGCCAATAATTACTACCTTATCAGCTGCTGCTATTAAATTATCTGAGAAAATTTTCCTTGTCAGGCCAAAAATAACCAGCCAGTAATGTAATAACTTGTGATGTGTTACAGTTTTTGTCAGTTTGCCTAAATTTGAGTTCTTTTTATCTGCTTTTCAGTTCTTCTTTCGATCATTTCTTGTTTAGAACTACAAAGGCAATGATGTAATCCACTTTTAGACGTGCTTTAGCCCTAGATTAGCACTCCACAACACATTATTGGCCAGTTATTACATTTAAACATTTAAAAATGATTACATTATTGGGCATTATTACATCTCCATTGAGAATGTTCTATATTATGTTTGTAAATTTCTATTTCCACACAATCATGGCCACCCTGAGAAATGTACATATTGTATCTTATGTAAGTGGTTATTAAGCCTTAAGTCTTAACTTCTAACCCTGATCCCTAATTCCATTAATTCTGAATCATGCTTAAAAATCACTATATCGACTTTTCTGAAAGCTGGAACAATATCATTTTGGCAATATGATCAATTTTAAGCTGTTTGTGTTTGTAGAACCATGCTGCCGAACTGGTTGGGACTGAGCACAGACTAAAGCTTCACTCTTGAGCATGTGCATCAGACCTCAGGGCGACTGAAGCTGGACCAGACCAGAGCAGTGCTCATTTGCTTTCTGATGTTTCAAGACCATGAATTTATGCCTTATGCCGCAAGGCAAGACAATGGCCTCCATCAGGAAAGCAAGCTGGTGTTTGTCCTGCATCTGTCAGCTGAGACCATGCGGAAAAGCAACAGAAGAAGTTACAGGTTAGTTGTCTGACCTGCCAGAACCGCACACTTTGAGGAAACTTTACAAAGACAGGTGGATCTGGAGTTGTATCATGTCCTGATTTCAGAGGGTGTGATTGACAGGTGGATTAACCAATCAGACGCAAGCCCTGTTTGTGTCAAAAATAATAATCCATTTGGCTGCTTACACATGAAAAAAGAGAAAACTTTTGACTGACTTAATGGACTGAGAGACAGTGCAGATTTTTACTGAATCAACAATTAAAGCACTAAACTATTACTTACTTCAGGTAAAAGAAGTTCTATATTTTGTTCTGAATGATATGACAATTTTTGAATTGAATTGAGGTTTTTCACACTCTAAGGTCTGGCTCCAGTCCCCAGAATGTAGAAGGGACTGGCTGGTCAGGCAAACAGGTTAGGATTTAGGGGTTAGGGTTATATACCTCATTTGTATTTTCTTTCTTTCTTCCGTTCTTTAGTTGACAGGGACATTGAAAAATAAATGTGCTGCACAGACCAGATTTAGCAACAAGCTCATTTTCATCTGTTGTCAATGGGCAGGGGCAAAGTGACAGCAGGTAACAGTGAGCAGGTACTTTATAAAAAGTTCCATGCAATATTTGATGCACAGTTAAAACAAAAAAACAAATGCCAATAGCCATTCACCAATAGAGGGAGCAGCTCATCATTTCTCCAAATATAAATTTACAAATATTTACACATATATACATTATTTGTACAAACAGATGATCACTACTGGCTACAGCCCTGACTCTCTTTAAGCCACTTCTTCTAACATTGCATTTAAAATGTCCCAGAACACTGCACTCTGGGACATTTAGTAGTAGTTTTTATTGTTGGTTAGATGACATTTTTGAACCCTACAGGTATGACTTGGAGTCACTTAAGTCTCAAATACAAGACAAGACATGATTACTCAAACCTGCATGAATCAAGTGTGTGTCTATATATATATATATATATATATATATATATATATATATATATATATATATATATATATATATATATATATATACAGTTTTCTTCTGAAAAGTTTACAAGCTCATGAAGTTGATTTGACAGATTTTGTCCTCATACAATTGACAAAATACAGTTAGACTTAGACAAAACTCTATTGATCCAAACTTTATTAAATAAAATAGAAAAATAAGTGTGTGTGTGTGCATGTGTGTGTGCATGCGTGCATGTGTGTGCGTGTGCGACCAGATGTGAAACCTGAATGACACCACTGTCATTCCTGTTCCACGCCCAAGGACACACGTTTATAAGCAAGCAAAAACAAATATAAGGCAAAGAGTGAATGCTATGACGATGGTACAAAACATCTTAAATTTCTCCCTGTACCACATTTTCAGCTTTTCCTGTTTGTCCTTGAAATACCAGCTGATCCAGGAGCAAGGTGAGGCGAAAAAACTGTGGCTGAGGCAGGGGCATGCAAAACTACCCGTGTCCTCATGGCAGTGCTGGGGCTGGTTACTCTTAAATATTCTTTACAAACTGCTAAAAAGGAAGTACCATGCAGTTACTTCCATGATGTTTCTGTATTCCAAATATCCATGAGTTTCAGTATGGTGAAAAGCTACAACCGTTCAACAGCAAAATAAACAATTCAAAAACATATTATATCTTTTGTGTTTAAAATGGCACCATATAACAGGAAGTTGAAACCCATGAATGCATATTGTTACAGTAGACACATGCAGTAAAAACCTGTGCTGTCAAAGTGAAGCCATTTGCCCAACTTGTTCAGATCAAAGCTAAGACTGGTGATATTAAGTGCAGTATAATATGATAAGTTATGACTTCAGTAATTCATATTTCATAAGGCAAACTTTTGCCAAACTGACTGGAGGACTTCTTCTGTCAAAAACTTAACTATGTTTGGGAATGAGGTATCTCTGATAGTGTCCCTCCACTATTTAGTTTGCATTTAGTTTAGTGAGAGGTTTATGAAATGTGGTACAAATTATGGGTAAGATAATAAAACAGCATTCTTGAGTGTAGACTCAGTCTGTCTGTTTGATTATAATCACTATGTCATATGTGATCAGAAAACATCTCCAATTATTTATCTTCAGGTTAAGACCACATTGACTTCTGCATTTTAAACGGAACATTTGCTTTGAAGGAAAATACTTCACATGCTTCAAGTCAGAGTTGAAGTCCCCCCTGGTTGATTATTAGAAAAGTATTGTTGTTTAATTGTTGTGGCTATTGGTGTAGTTATTATGGAAGCCGAGAGGGGTCACAACAAACACAAACGCTGCAACAAATACAAATGTGACAAAACAACAAAAAGTCACAACACACCGGAAAAAGTCACAACGGAAATGACCATGGGACTCTATTTGAATGCAAACACTACAAATACAAATACAAACACTACAACACAAACGGAAACGCAGCAACACAATAAAAAGCCACAACACATTAAAAAGCCACAACGGAAGTGACCGCGGGACTCTATTTTTCAACGGACTGAGCAAGCAGCAAGTGAAGAAGAAGAACTACAACGTGAAAAGTAAAGGAACGGAGAAGTTGGAAACGGAAGTAAAAGTAATTTATTGTTTTATCATTATTCATTTCACGTTGTAGTTCTTCTTCACTTGCCGCTTGATCGGTCCGTAGAATCCCGCGGTCACTTCCGTTCTGGCTTTTTGATGTGTTATGGCTTTTTTATGTGTTACGGCATTTGCGTTTGTGTTGTGGCGTTTTTATTTGTTGCAGCGTTTGCATTAAAATAGAGTCCCGCGGTCATTTCCGTTGTGGCTTCTTTTGGTGTGTTGTGGCTTTTTTCTGGTTTGTTGTGGCTTTTTGTTGTGTTGTCGCATTTGTATTAGTTGCGGCGTTTGCGTTTGTTGTGACTGCTCTCGACTTCCGTAAGTTATAATAAAGTGTACAGAAAAAGGGCAAGCTAAACCCTGAAATGTCAAACTCACTTGACTCCCGTGGATAATGGTCTGCCTGTTCTTGCCGTTGTAATCCACCACCTCGATGTAGTCCAGGTAGGCATCAGCCCAGTACACCAGCTTCTTGAGCAGGTCCAGAGTGAGGGCGGTGGGCTGCTCCATCCTGTGGTCCACCAGGCGAGTGCGGTTTGAGCCATCCATGTTACAGCGTTCCAGCTTGGCGATGTTCCCATAATCAGTGAAGAAGAGCATCCTGGGAAAACAGAGAGTAAAAAGAACAAGTTTGTTTAGTGAAGAGAAATTACTGGGAAGTAGGGCTGTAGTCCTTTAGTCATTGAGTTAATTAATAGATTAAGAGTGTCTTAGTCAACCATTTTTTTTAGTCAACTAATCATCTTTCATAGATTATAAGGATTTATATGGGACAACAACAGAAATGAGAAGCTAGTGAGTCAGTTAAGAGGTATTTATTTGTATGTAAAAATGCAGATTTTTTTTCATTTGTGCATTGTTGTGTACATATACTGTGTGACGGAAAGTAACTGTTCACTGACTAAAATCCTCTCAGTTCCAAAACACAATAAACGTTGCATTTTCTATAGCTGTGTTGTCATTTGTAGCATGTTGTTTTTACATGTCATTATTAAATTATTACTACAAGTTAACAGAACTTGAGGAGTCATACTTAAGGGTTATAAGTTAGTAGAACTTGCAAAATCATAGTAATTAATGTTGAATATAATAAGGTAACAGAACTTGCCAAGTCACTGTAAATAGGGTCAAATATTATGTGCTAGTAGAACTTTCCAAATCCTAGCAATTTGTGTTAAATTTCAAAAGGTTAAACGACAAAGTAAAACCCATTTAGTGTAAAGTGGCTACAGGAAGTACACTATACTTGGAGTTTAGCTGATTGAGGCAAGTAAAGTACTTACTAGATTTACTTGAGTGCTGTGGATGTGCATTTTGTTTCCTAAGTAAACCTTAGTTGCCAGTGTTTACAGTGTACATGTTTTTAGATGAGTACTGCTATACTATGTAGGGTAGACAATTTTGTGTATATAAGGTATATGTTTTAAATGGTAAAACATGCTTAGAAGGATAGGTGGCCTTTTCAACAAGCAAGCAATCATTTTCAGTCTCATGTAAGATGCATGTTTGTACTGACAAAATTAGTTTAGTGTTGTAATGAAAGAGAAACAAATTGCAATGTTCCTCTTAACAGCAGTTTCATTAATTGTTTTGTGTTTTGTGTCATCCCCTCATCGACCATCAGCCAATCTGAAAAAGAAAAGGTCCATATAACAGGAAGCTGAAGCTGAAACATGAAACTCATGAACAGTAATAAAAGCATTACTTATCCGAATAATTTACACATCATATGCATTTTACGAAATATTATCCATTAAAATGACATCACATGATTTTTAAGTATCAGGAGTCTATTTACCATAAATGTAAAGACTTAACTGGACCTGTGATTTCAAAGTAGCACGTGTTAATTAACCAATCAGCAATAAAAGATATTACTTGCAGACACCAGTGGTTTTATAAGCTATAAATATGAGTATAGTTAGGCCACTTGCTCGGTCTGCAATTACTGAAATGTTTAATAGCTTGAATCCTTTTTCAAAGCAGACACAGGAACAAGAAGGGGAAGTTTTCATTTTTAAATAACAAGAAGCCTTCAAAGAAATCTAACAATGTTTAATTAATTCTGAGTTTATTATAAAATCAGAACTTAAAAGTGTAATTTTTTCTTTCGGGTCTGACTTCTTCTATTTGAGGGAAACTTTCAAAGGCCTTGTTCAAAACCTATTGTGCATTTTCCACTATGATGCAGCAGCAGTGTCTTCTCCTGGAGGCAAGAGTAATAAAAGCAGCACTTTCTATTTCCTTTGTGGTAATTCTGGGGACATTTAGAGGCACGGCGCGGAGAACCCGGGGGTACGTAAGTTAAAATAAATAAAAGACAACGTGAGATACGCACAGGAGCCAAACCATTTAATGTCTAAAAACAGTCAGGATGGCTTAAAGTCAATTCTTGGCGAAGCAGGAGGTCCATGTAACTCCGGGGAGCAGGTGCTGTAATGTCTGCCAGTTCATTTGTTTCTCAAAATAGGTGCAATGTTTCATGGTGTGATCACATGACGGGCCTGTCACTTTAAGCGTTTTGAATAGGGAGGAATCTGTCACTTGGGAGGAGGGAATGCGATTTTGACTGTCGGGCTGCAACTATATTTACAAATAACGGACAATAATATAGAAAGAAGACATGCTTTTGTCTGCTACACCAGTCAAAAGTTTGAACACACCCACTCATTCCATGATTTTATCTTTATGTTTACTGCTTTCAACATTTTGTATACACACAGAAGGCAACAAATATATGAATCAAGATATATGTAACTGCATAGTAGAGAAAGTTAAGTAAGTCAACAAAATATGTGTATTTTGTATTCAAATTTTCAAAGCAGACACCCTTTGCTTTGCCGACAGTGCTGCATACTCTGGGCCTTTTTGATAAAGTCTCCTCAAATGGTTTTCACTTCACAGCTATGCCATGTCAGGGTCAAGAAATACCAAACGCACAAATCAGTGTTCAAAGCAGAGTGCCTATATATTTAAAATGTTTAAATCTAAAATAAGTTTTGAGTTATTTTGAGTTTATTTTTTGCTTGCTACTTTTCATGTGTGTTGATTAATAGTTTTGATGACTTCGGTGCGAGTCCATAATGTAAATCAGCAGTGTCAAGCTCAAATTCACAGAAGGCCAAAATTAAAAACTGGGACTAAGTCATGGGCCAAACTAAATATTTATTGAAAAATTTTAACAACATCTGCATGTTTTCTCTTCTTTTGAGATATGTAATGTTAAACCTTTTCTTATTAAAATAAATGTTTAATAATAGCTTTGTTTAAACACTGAATCCAGAACAAGCATAACATAAAATAATAACCAAATTTGAAATAAGGACTAGCCAGCTCTAATACATATTTGATATGATCTCGCGGGCCAAATATAAATATTTCGTGGGCCAAATTTGCCCCACTGGGCCTTGTTTGACATGTCTGATGTAAATCATGGAAATAAAGAAGAAACATAAATGCAAAACATAAAGCAATGTTGAAAAAATAAATAAATAAATAAATAAATCTAATAAAATCAAATTCAAATCTGCAATCTTACTTTATTTTATGCTGCAGAGATAGGCAGAAAACTGTGATGCCTCGATATTAGAAGTATAAAATGCCAGTGTACTCCCAAAAGCTTTGTTGTGGCTGAATAAGCATAGCTGAAAAATTATCATAATGTCTATGTGTTATTTAAATTTCACTTGTACACATATAAATGACTAAAGTGGCATCCTAAAGACGCACTATGTAACTTTCCTAGTGGAAGGTCTGCCACTTCCATGTCTCCACATCTTTTGCCTGGAAGATTTCACAGTACATTATTAAAGGGACAGTCAGGAATTTTGGACATAGGACCTCATTTCCTATATAGCCAGAGTGTTGAAGACGTGTGGAGACACTTCACATCGACAGTCTGGCGTTATAATTGTTTTGCATCGAGTGCTTTGTGGATTGGGTAAGACTGTTTTTAATGGCAGGCTAACTATGGCCATTGACATACACTAGCCTAGCACCAGCGACCTCTGCAAATACAAGGACTGGATGGAATATTTTAAGAACTGTTTCCACACGTCTCCAACACTCTTGCTAAATAGGAAATGAGGTCCTATGTCCAAAATTCCAGACTGTCCCTTTAAAGTTGTACAGCACCAATTCTATTACAGTTCCTTTATTGCTCTAAAATACCCTGAAAAGCATGTATTCTTTCTGAGTGGGATTGGCTCTCCACAGACCTGACCTATAATTTGGCCTGCTGGAACCACCTGCTTGTGTTGAGAGAGATAGACAAGATTAATACTGTGCTGTTCCATGTAAAGCAATAACTTAATGATAGAGTATTTTGAAGAGGAGGAGATGGAGAGAGTGACTGTTTGTATTGTACAGTATGAAAGTGGTCTTCAATCAGTTTATAAAAGCTAATAAAATGAAATTCAAATCTGCAATCTTGATAGAAACACAGAACACCAGTGTACTCCCAAAACAGTGTTCTACTATTAAAGCTAATATGCTCAGAACATTTAAATCTCCTTATCAACCATCAAGCCATCTTTTTATTTTAAACTGCGCCCCACTGCTCGTCTCCCGTCTGCACTAATTAACATGCAAACCTCGTCTCCGCCTCTTCCCCCGTGTCCTGCAGCGGCCGCGCGAGGACAGAGCCCCCGCAGCCTTCAATGATAACAAGCAGCAGTGAGCCGACTTAATCTGCACCAGTCAAGTCTACGGAGAGATGTGATGACCTCTGACCTCTGGAGGGGGAAAAAAAGAGCGACGTCAGCAATGATCGTAGAAGCAGTCTCCCCAAACAGGTGCACCTTTACGTAGCATACCGATGATAGCTTCTCAGGATTAGGATGGTGCTGATTCTGTACTTGTGTATTCTGGGGCTATATAGAAAGATTGGTTTGAGATTTGTGAAATGAGCACCCATGATACTATCCATAACATAGAGGTGCAGTCTCCAATAGCTAATAAGGACAAAGACTGAAGATTCTGCTCTATAAGGTGAAAATCATTTGTGCTATATTGAGCTTGATGCTTTTAGACATAAAATATAAAATGAGAAAATATTACAGTGTGGAAAGATCTAAAATGAATGTGGGTAAGCCAAAAACGATTGTTAAAGAGGCTGTGCCCGATTTTATTTTCAGATAATAAAATAAAATCTTTTTATGCTCCAGTACAGATATATTATAAAAGCTGCTCTTACAGAGAAAATGAAACCAATGTCTGCTGTATGGATCTAATTATAGAGAGTTTTATTCTCTGCAAAACAGTAAGTGCACCATTAGCATGCTAATGTTTGTTAGCTTTACCGTTATGTGTTTATAAAGTAATTACTATTCACACTTACGTCACAAACCAGGAAGAAAAATTAGAAAATGGCCCAGTTTTCTTCATTTACTGTGTTTTTTGGACTATAAATTGCACTTTTTCATGGTTTGGTTAGTCCTGTGACTTATACTCCGGTGCGACTTATATATTAAAATGTTCACGCTGACAGCCACGAGATAGCACTCTAGGCTTGTGCGCCAGTGTCTGCTACTTCTAATACTCCTGTACCACTGTCACTTGGTGCTCTGCAAATGTTTCCTGCAGAAAGAGCCGCTGTCCTGT